AAGACTTAAAACGATGCTTGCACACAATCAAGAACTGTGTCAAACCTGCTTCAAGATGGCGAATAGAAGTGAGAAAAGGGAAACCAGTCTCAAGCACAGGAAAAGTTCCCCTGCTGACGCAAAAGACGTTCCTTTATCAAAATGGAGATTGCTCTACAAATGAAAGGATCTTTGGGTTCCGTGCTTGTGCTGCTGACAAACCCCAGAACCAAAAACAAACGACGACACCCCGGGCGCCCGTGTTCGATTGTTTCTCCAGGCATCTCATCCCAGAGGACGAGCATGCGACTGGAGCGCGCCACGAAGACGGGCAGCGCAGCAATCTGCTCCGCCTCGCAGACTGAGGGCTCTACGAAATCCGCTTGTCCACGTGAAAAAGAAAAGACTTTACATGTAGTAATTCATGATATCTTGAATCGTGTGGCCCTGAGGATGCATCATTCGAACCCATAAGGTTTGCTGGTATTTGGGGCATCGAACCAAAAACCATGGCTTCTTGAGTGCAATATTTTTCGTCCATCCATCAGGCTCCGAAGTCATGTAGGTGGTTCTCCCAGTGGATTGACGTGCCCTGCCGCCACGAAGCTTTTCTCATACCCCCTCGGCGTGCTTAATATTAAGTGCCGGATGGCCAAGTACCTTACATATTTCGACAAATCCTATGTGACAAGCCTAACAATGCCATGAGTCTATTTCGATTGGATCCTCAAGGACATGCCTAAAATCCCCCAACCCTCTGCCTCCCGTCCCAGAGCGTGGGATGCAACTGGAATGAAGTGATGACACGTTCGAAAGCACAAAAAGTGGATTTTTGGGACCGGTCCCGGGCAGTCCTGGACCCAACCCTGGTCCCAGGAGCGGTCCCCGGACAAGCTTGCAGGACAGGACCGCTTTCAGAACAGGTTCAAGACAGGTCTCAGGATCAAGTCCTGGTGCAACAGCGCTGGTATCGGATCCCACTTCAAACCGCTCCAACCTGTTTCCTCCGCTCTGTTGGCTCGAACAGGACTCTGCCAGTCCTGGTGCCACCTCCAACTGCTCCAGACTGTTTCCTCCAAGGCACCCGTGTTTCAGGACCCGACAGGGTCCCAAGTCCCGGTGCCTGCGCACCCACCTCCTTGTTTCTAGGACCACTCCCTTTCCAACTCGACGGCAAACCGGCCCATGCGGTAATTGACGGACGAGCTGCCATCTTTCTGACTTTTCCGTTAATCCTTGTAAAGGTTCCTGGATCTATTCTGCAAGAGAGTCCAACACGTCGATTCAAACCGCGCCAGACTGGTCCCATAGTCCCGGTCCCTGCCGGCGACCGGTCCAGGGCAACTGTCCCAGGGGCAGCTTCGGGAGGGCCAGTTTCAGGACGACCCTGGGAGAGGCGACCGCTCCCGGGCCAACTCGAAGTGACTCGGGCGCGAGCCGGCCCAAGCGGCAATTAACGGACTAGCTGCCATCTTTCTGACTTTTCCGTTAATCCTTGTTTGTGGTCGGTCGGCGGCAGAAAACGGGAGCCTGGTTAATCCGGCTAGCTACGCCTCCTCTGCACCCTGGTGCCGCCGACCCGCCGCTTGGTCGTGATGCGCTGCCCAAATCCGGCACCTCTGCATCTTGCCTGTGGGAAACCCTCGCGAAACATCGCGTATATGCAGGGTTTAGGCCATGTGGCTGATCATCAGGGTCTGGGGTTGGGCCTGGGTGATGCTTCAGCGGGGCTTGGTCTGCATCATCAAGACTTCCTTCCAAAAAGCCTCTCAACCCATGAAGCACTGTTTTTTGGAAGGTATCGGAGGGATATAAGCAAGGCTCATTTTACAAAACCCTGTAAATACCGTCAAAACTGCGCTGAGCGGTTTGTTGTTGTTCTGTCCGTTTTGCTGTTGCTGTGGCTGGCTTGCATGCTGCGCGGTCCTTGCCTTTTTCCCGTTGGTTTTCGGGCCTTCTGGCGCGCGCGCGCGCGACCCCAGCCACAAAACGCTGCTATTTACAGTGTTTTGTTGCATTTGCGTTTCCGGGCTGGCTTGCGGGCTGCTCTTTTTGGGCTGCTTTTTCTGGAGCCTCTGGCGCGCGCGCGCGCGACCCCATGTCAGCCTGCTGGGTGGGGCCCGGCTGGGGCCCAGAAAGCTGGCCCCTGCATCATCTGGGGTTGGGGTGGGCAACCTGCATAACCTAACCAACCATATCATAGCACAGAATATGTTTCTCATACAAAAAACATGACATGACATGGTATAACTTCAAAGAGGCGTAGCCGGCTAGAGGCCGCAGGCCCAGAATAAGCTAGCATGATTGAGTTTCAAGAAGTCAGCCACTGAAATGACTGATGAAACCCCGGAACCCTTCAATAAACATGATAGCACACGTTGCTGATGCGCGTGCGTGCGCGCGAAACATGCGGCCAGCGCGTTGCAGTGCGCACGCGCATTCCCATGCACGTCTGCATGTGCGTGCGCAAACTTGCGGTTGCGAGTGTGCGTGGGCGTGGGCGTGGGGGCATGGGTGTGGCGATGGAGTGGTTGCGTGCCGGCATGCTTGCATGTTTGCGTGTTTGGGTCTTTGGGTTCGCGCTTCGCGCGTGCGCGTGTGCGTTTGCGTTGGCGTTGGCGTTTGGCTTTGCGGTTGCCTCGTGCTCGTGTTTGTGCGCTTGCGCTTCTGGTGCGATTCTGCTTGTTCTTGTGCTTGTGTGTCTGTGTGTTTGTGTCTCTGCTAGTGTTTGTGTTTGTGTTGTGTTGTTGTGAGGCAGGGTACTCTTTTGAAAGTCGGGTTCCAGCACAAACCACAGGGTTTCCTCATAGCCTGGCCTTGAGGTCCATGTTGGTCTGATGGATGCACAGCTTGTCCAGCCACACAGACGTGGATCGTTGCCCACCTGAAGCGCCGGCCGCATTTCTGGAAACTCACGAACGTGTGGGGCCAAGTTTCCGCTGAGCCGATGTCTGATCTGGGGTGATGCTAGGTTGGAAATGTGGAAAGTAAGTCACTAGAAACCATTGCCCTGAAATCGTCCAAGGAAAAATACCTGTGTCTTGAAATGGGGGACACCCCAAAATGGCTAGTTTTGTTTCGGTGTCCAATTAACATATTTCATCCCTCTCCAAGCCAACCCAGCAAATTCAACTCCGCAATTCGGATCAAAGTCGACAAAAGCCACTCGCAGGCAGATTTAGACCTATTTGGTCATCATTCAGGGATTCGTGCCCATCACCAGCTCTTCACAAACATTACGATGAGACATCTTCGGACCAGCAAAGCTCAAAAACGGGTTGGAAGGCAACGTCTGAACTGCCACGGGGAAATAGTTCGGGACTCCCGCCAGAGTACCAACTCCAAAACACCCAAGCAGGGGCAGGCCGCGGAGGTGTTGCCCGCAAAAGAAGACCACGAAGAACCTCGCGCGGACTCAGTCAGGGCTCGAAGGTTTTAAACGTCACCTTTTGGTTGACAATGTCCAGGTGAGGTTTCCTGTTGCCGGGGAGAGATTTGCAGGGTTTCGGAGCCCTGTCACTCAGACCCTGTTTTCTGAAAGGAGTGGAAGCAACTCAAAGGCTCCATTTCCCACAAGGAGATTCCTGAAAGATGAGATCCGGTGATCATGAAAGCAGTTCCTCCTCGGTCGAAACCAGGGCCATCCCTCGATGCTCCACCAAACTGACAACTCAAACGCCGGCGATGCGTCCATCTTTCACCCTGAAGCGCCCTCAATGCTGTTAAATGGAAATTCTCGTTGTCCCCCATTTTCATCAGCGGGTGTACTAAGGAACTCAGGAATTCAGCGGTCGATATGAATCATACACGCGGCGTACAACGAAAAACGGATCCCACAGAAGCAATTTTGGGCATTGGGGTTCTAGGTGCAGGGGGAATTGTGTGGCTCAAATGGGGGGGAAACAGATCGAGAGAGCGAGCTGACGAAACTCCAACAGTGCCATGCATCCCTGACGACACTAAAGCTAGCAAAAAGCACGTGAAAAACTTCGCGAAAGAACGCAGCGCGAGAACGGAAGATGCACTCGTGCCCATTGCTTCACCTCTGTGTGTGGGCTTGTTTAAGGGCACCGCTTCTTGGGTGGTGAAAAATTGAAATTGAAAGCGCAACCGCATTTTGGGACAGCGTGACTCCTTTCGGCGCATGCGGAGGCTTCAGCGCCAGCATCGCCTTGGTACTAGTAAACGGGCGCAGGTCCGCAGGCGCAAGCAGTCTCCCTGAAACAAAGACACGTTGAAACCCATGCCCAAATGAGGTTCGGTCAAGATTTCAGCCTCTCGGATTTCGACGCATGCTGTGTGCTCGCAAAAAGCGCTGACGAGCTCTGGTGCGCCGGCGGCTGGGGCGGTCTGCGCAACGCCGCCGCTCGTCGGCGTGTAAAAAAAGAAACTGCTTGCCCCCTTGCAACAACATGTGAGCATGTAGAAATGCCAGAAATCAACGCTCACTCTATTTTACGCTTTCGGGTCACCCGGTTCCAAATAAAAAGGGGCTGTGGGCAGCGCCCGTGCGAGTCCACGGCGCCGCGTTCATACATTCGTACTGGCCCCATGATGTTTTACCCTCAAAGTCACGCCCATGGACCAAATTGATAACCCCCAGAAACAGCCAAAACAATGACCCCGGCATTTCAAAAAAAACACCGCCTTTGCTCAGTCAACCTTTTGGGTCATGACTAAAAATGGACCAAAGTGGGGAAACTAAAGGGTCAGAACCGGTTGATTTGCTTTGGGCGGATCGTGAGCCTCAGAAACATCAGACTGAGACGCACGGGGATCGATTGCCACGCTCATCACCGTCTATCAGACCCACACCAAACCGGAAGATCTGTGGCAAGAAGTCAACCAATGAAAACCCCTCAAGCAGAGCCTGGTTATTTTCAGGGCCTCCGTTGTGATTCAGAACTGAGGGTGGCACCGCCCAATTCATAGAACCGCCTCGGCGGTTTTTCCAGCTTGAGATCCAAGGGGCACTGTGATCGGCAGGTACACCAGGCAAGGCAGGGCCAGCGGGCTCCCGCCCAAGCCGGTCATCCCCTCGCTTGAGAGGAACCAAACAGCCGGCAACCAATTTTGCAACTCCGTGCAGGAACCTGGAGACAACCTTCCACTCCCTGGTGAAAAACGCCATGACCCCCCCCCCTTCTGTCCCTTTTCATCCTGGCTTGAGACCTTGTTATCTTGCATTTGGGGCAAGGGAGGTTGTGAAGGTGGTATCCTACGACCAAAATGATGCCCTTGAACTTGTCCAAAATCCAGGTTTCCAACGAAAGATTGAAATTTGTTGCTTTCCGCTAGGTGTGATCTACCAAACTCTGTATTTCCCATGACCACTCTGCCTAGATTCCCCAAAAACTGTGCGACCGACCCAAGAAACTCTCTTCCTCGGAGGGGGGGTGTCCCCAGTACCTGGAGCGTCAAACATGGTGTAACCCCAAAATGGGGTATTCTGGTGAATGGAAACAACAACTAAAACTTGGGGTCCCTATCCTGGTTGTGACTAATTTTGACCCATACCCACCTTAAAGAACCAAACCCTGGAGACTCGAGAGCTCTAACCCAAAAGATGCCTCCGAAACCCCCAAAGGCAAACCCAGCCACGCAAAACCTGCGAACATAAGGGAGAACTGAGTTGCCCAGCCTAAACCGCCCTAAACCTGCCCTAAATCTGCCCACCCAAAACCCAGCCTAAACCAGCCCAAACCTGCCCTCCTCCTAAACCTGCCTAAACCCACCCAAAACCGCCCCAACCGAAAGGGTACTTGTCACCTGAACAAACTTCAAGCACACACACAGTCAGACAGACAGACACAAACGGGTAAGAGCTGGGAATTCTTTGGTGGACATGTAGGCATAGAAGCGATCGGATGCGAGCCTCCCTCGCCCTGGCCAGTAGTATGGCCGCTGCCACCAGGCAGGTGCCCAAAGACCAGCGCACAGCCAGGTCCAGGTTGAAGAACCTCGATGTCCGATTTCCGCATCCATGTTGGGGGTGGCTTGCTGTTCCTTCGTTCGTTTGTGTGTGTGTGTTTTGGGTTTTGGGTCTTTTTCTTGTTTTTGAGAAAATGTGGCTTTGAAGGGAAAACGACAACTTGTTTGGGGGGCCCTTTGGGTGTGTGTGTGTGTGTGTAGAAGCAGCCCATAAGCGACAGGATTCATGGGCTGCGGGTTGGGATCCTTTCACGACGCATGGGATGGCTATGACTGTTAGAGTCGGGACCTAGGTGGTGACCTCAATCCCCAACCTGGATGTCCACGAAGGGGTCCCTATTTGTTTATTTTTCTTATAATAGAAAAGGGCCTCGATTTGACCGCTGAAATGGCATGGTTTCCCTATGAGAATGCCAACCACAAGGGTCAACCATTTTGAGAAGCCTCCCAATTTGCTAGGTCTCAGACCTTTATCTGACAATTAGCTTCCATCGGATCACATGGGTCCCGTCCGAAGCGCGATCCTTCCTTCCGTCCATCTGAGTTATTTGGCAATGTCAGATAGGGCCGAACAAAAGGTCTGGCAACTATAATGACATCCTTAAGAAGACACTCAAAATGGGACACCCCTCCAATCAAAAAACATCCAGGCGTTCGAAGTGGTTTGCAATTACCCTCGTAGTGGTTTCGAGGCAAACAACTTCACAACTGCCGCAAGTAATTTGGAGAACCCTTCAAAACATTCATTTGACGCTGCAAAAATGCAGACTTCCCACCGGCTGCCCGGTAAGCTTTGTGGTTTGGTTCCTTTTGTGACCGGGTGGGAGTGTTCTTATATGTTATTTTCCTTCGTGTTTTGATTGGCCACGGTTTCTTGCATTCTCCCCCCCTCCCACCTCAAAAGTGGTTGGTGTTTACCCCGCAATTTGATGATTCCAGAACCCCTGGGCTGGTGGGGAAGACGTCAGATTTGGTGTGATGGGTCGCCTTTTCGGACAATGCTGGTGTTGGAGGACATGGGACACAGTCATTTGTGCCTAGCCAATTGAACCAACTGTAGTATGGGCATGGTGGACCATCCCTGGTGGCCAAAAAATAGGGTTTTGTCCGGCATCGACCAGCTGTGAAGTGAGGAAAAACGGTTCCACGGGAGAACCTGCGGGGTCAAAGTCGCAACTTATTTGCTGAAGTTGTGTCACTTGTTTGCTGCGTGGGAAATCTGTCATTCTCCCAAATCTTAAACTGTGCTTGCTTTGGGACACCTCATTTGGAGCAAAGAGGATGGGGATCTGCAAAGTTGCCACCCTTTGTTCTACGGTACGTGGAACTCCCAATAGACCCCGTGCTGGTTTTGATTTTTCGCAGCAAAGAATCACTTGCGGCACTTTAAAAGCGGGATTTTGGTGAGCCATCCCGGACTTCATAATGCAAGTTCTGTGAGGGTACCTCATGTCATCTCTTCATTGCGGAAGGTAAAAAGTCAACGTTGACCGTTGCCAACTTGAACAAAACGCGTCGAAGTTTGGTTTGCGTAGGCCTTACGATAGCCCTTGATCAAACTGGCAGAGGAACCTGCGCGGGCAGGGCAAA